ATTACTCGAGATTGCCGTCCTTGCTAGTTTTATATCCACCTTAGGTTTCTTAAACTCCAATTCTAAGACATCGTCAACAGTCAATTAGCCGATTTCAGCAAGCTGAACTTAAATCGTAGCTAATCTACCGTAGACAAGTTACTATATGCATCAAGTGCAGGGGAAACAAGTTCTACGAGTTTATTTCTTAGGGTCACTAAATCTTACAAAGCTAGCTTCAGAAGCTAATGATTCTTGGTTGTAAACATCGAACGTCTGTACGAGATTATGCTATTTCCTTTCTAAGGAATGTGCTCAAAGCAAAAAATGCTTAACAGAACACGTCTATAACTGATTTATGCTGTTTATATATTATAACACTAATGTAGATCACCTATTCTACACTTAGCGGTCACTATGTTTAACTGGCTCTGTAGTTTTCCTACTATGGATACATAATTAGTCATATTACTAAGCCTAGTACTATGGTTACGTGGATCCCTGCCACTCATTTTACCTTAGGTACAGTCACATCGTTTTGTTGTGGCAGGTGTGTACGTAATACACACCTTTGTCTAACCCCGTTTCAGTCTCCCACAAATCCGTGGGATCCGTCGTACCCAGATTCTTCGAACTAACAGTAAAAGTTCCCAAGCCATCATCATCCGCTTTGCTTCCACAGCACCTTTAGTCTTTACCACTTGCTTGTAAGAGCGCTCAATTATAACTGTTTTCCACTTGCTTGTGAAGCACCTTAGTTCCACAAATGCTTAGAAAGCATATACGATTTTATCACTTGCTCTCTGAGCTTCAACAATTGTCTTGCCTCGTACTTAATTAGGAAAATAATTACTCGCTTTAATTCCTGCTTACGAAGCCCTTGCGCCTTATCATCATGGATGTGGAGACACCTTGATCTCTTCGGACATAAGAGCAGTGAAGTTGACTATAAAGTCAGCGAACACCGAGTCTCCTCAGGTCGTGACACCCAACGCTCACGGAGCGGGTAACGACAGCCTTTGCCTGGGTCACTTTCCCCGAAGAGAGCGACTGCCCTGCCCAATTCCCTCTCGTGTGACGATGAATAGGTATCCAACTCTCTTGACGATTTCCAGCGTGGTTGCTGATCAGGCCAGATCGGCCGACTTGGTACACGCGATCACGACGTGACTATAATTGTGTTGCTCGTTACGCTAATGAGGAATTTCAACAAGGTGTATCCCAGTCACTACGCTTCTACCTCATTAAGCCCGACACCTGTACCTTGCAAGATCTCCGATTGCCCTACGCTTCGTAGGCGCCCCTTACTCCTCAGAAGATTACGATTAGATCATATCAGGAACGACTGACTAGACAGTCACGTGGGTTCCGGTACCATCCTGAAAGATGTGAGAGAGGTGTTAGCACCAGGTGAGCTGGTGATCATCTCGGAGACTTGTCTCACCTGGTGGGTTGAACGAGCTTGTAATCTCGAAAATCTATACGGCTTACGCGTAAACTCAAAGGAGAAGGACGGTCGGGCTAAACGACGCTTACGCTTCTAGTTTGCAAAGCATAAAACAAAGCGTCAACTATCATCTACTTTCAAGTCGAAGACTTGTGAAGTTCCTGTTTCTGAATCAGTTGCTTGAACCTCTCACGCAAGTGAGTTCCGGCGATTGCCTCCATGAACAGCCAGAGGCAAAGCCCAAATACTGGCCTTTCTTCCTCAGCACCTAGTAATAGGAAGCGTCAGCGATGTCAGGGAAATTACCGAAGAGATATCTCGAGCTATCATGAGTGAATAACGTCTCTGCTTCACCAAGTTGGGTATTCCCCTGGTGTCGACGTCATACCGGAAGGCACCCAACACGACACTGACGTTGACGCGACACATTGATAAGAGTTGGCGGAGGTCGATGACCCATCAAGATCTCATGACGTTCATACTTAGGACCTTTCTGAAATTCGCCGTCGGTTGACGACTCTGGAGAATGATGCTTTAGGCAGTGGCGTTTCGCCTGACGCCACTTTGGGATCGCGTCGATCGATACCGTCGCTGTTTCGAGCGTTATCACTTGCCCCTCGATGTTATATTTTGCACAGAAGTAGCTACATACCAAGGTGCGGGTATCACTACAAGAGCTTTCCGTTGTAGACGATCTGCCGTAGCCAAGCTGTTTACGCACTACGTACAAGCTCTACGTGCTTTATATCTTAGGGCTGACAAAACCTCAAGGCTAGATTGCAATATTATGCCTTCTTCAATGCAAAGAACCAACTTCTGTTTGAGACCAGTATCAACCGATGCTAGTTCCTTCTCAAAGAATGTGCTCAACAATAAATGCTCCGCAGAGCAGGTCTAAATCTCCTTTATATCCTTCATATCTTCTAACCCTAATATAGCATCATCTATTCTTAGCAGTTACTATATTTAACTGGCTCTGTAGATTTCCAGCCATATTTCCATAGTATTGAACCAAGTACTGTGGCCACGTGGCTCCCTGCCATGATATGAGTAAAATATTGCAAGTGCACTTGTTGCACAGAAAGCGAAGCAAAAGTAAGATATGTTAAAGTTAGCTTTGTCAATTAACACTATAACATGCATTTCCCTGCACTGCAAACTGGACCTGGTCTAGTTGTACATCGCATGTAGCGTCCTTAGCTCCTTAACCCATGTAACGACCTTAGGTCCTTATCCCATGTAACGGTATTAGCTTTTTGTCCCATGCATTGTCCATGCGTTCTTACCACCCTGTCTCACCTGTCAAGTTCAACAAGCTTAGTCAATTAGGTGAGGTTGCACTTTACTTGTAACAGGTCTTGCAGTACAACCTGAACTCCCTCATGACCTGTCAGAATCAATAGCTTCTAACAATATGAATCCATTGTACCTTAGGTACGATCACATCAAAGACGAATAAACCCAAAGTACTAACACACCATTTGGTGTGGTAGTTGGTGTGACAGGTGTCCCTTTGTGTCTAATCCCGTTTGATATAGTACTTAACCAAACAAAATGACTATTATATCCTCTCCACTTTACGGACGGCTTCAAGAGTATTTCTAGGGCTGACTTGCTTACGATTAAGCACGTCAAGTACGCACGACTCACGGGCGGTATCACAGTTGCCATACTTAACGCAATTTGTCGGTTTTTGTCCATAAATAGCGCAGTTGTTTGCGGTACCGCTTTCTTGAATTGTTTGACACGCTTATTTTGTCAAATAAGTTAAAAAGCGGTATTGGCCAAGTGCACAATGTAAATGAGCCTCGTCAATATATTTAATCAATGCAGTATTGATGACTGCCGTATACGCTCAAGTGGTGGCTTGTCGCTCTTCACCAACCGCCAGTAGTGATAATTAGGACTTGTTGCACACTTTCTCCTGCGTTTATTTGCTGGAATAAATTTGCCACGACAAAATAGATAGAGCGAGCCAATGTCGGCGCACCGTCATTGGCAAGCATAGCTGCCAGCGGAAAGTCCACGATGTTACTGCGGTTGGTTGCTGTGACGTAGATACCTTCAGGTGGCTGCCACCAGGCTTCGACTTGTCATAGATTGTCAATATGCTTCATAGCTTAACAATAGTCAAAGGCAAGCAAGCACGCACTTCCTGCGTCTTCTCGTCATACCCTCCAGTTTGGGATACAGGTAATATAGTACAAAATACTGATCCAATCCTTCCACATCGTTCTTGATGCGGTCACGCATAAAATTGTCCATAGTGCTGCCGAAGGACTTGTAGAGTAGCCGGAGCACGGATAGTGGTACATCAGGACACCAGGGTCGTGACTGGTCTTCTCAAAAGCCTGGAGCAGTTATATCCATGGAGACAGCTCGTAGCAGGCCTTGTATGTGCACCCAGCGTACATTACAGCAACAGGGTCGCCGTTGAGCCAGTAGATCCACAAGATTGGGACCCGCACCATCCGCATCGTTTTGAATTTATTGAAGCACAGCAGAAGCGAAGGGTTTGACGATTATCAAAGCGTAAAGCTTCTTGCATGCGTGCAATAGAAGCAGTGTCGGTCATTTGACGGGTTGTTTAGGTCGCTTTAAGCCGATAGCTTGAAGACATTTCGTTGGTAACAACTCTACTACACCAATTTTAATTTTTATATCTCAGAAAGTTACCACGAGTGTCAAATTTGACAGCAGAAAGCTAGAAAACCAAGCCGCAGTTGTTGACGACGTTCTTGCTCGAGAGGTTGTCCGAAGTGGATAAACTGTGGACATTTATACGCCATCACCATAATGTGAGGTCATGTCAATGGCGACACATGTAATTATTTGCTCTTGTAAGCAAGGCAGTTGGTTCTGTTATTGGTAGAGGATTTAACCATTCATTAATCGAAACAACCAACAAAGCCACCAGCGATTTATAGCGATAAGATGCAGAGAATAAATACGCTTTCATATTGACAAAGAATCTAGCAACTTGATAGTCGTTTACGACAGAAGAATCATGGCGTCTGGTCCAACCTCATTTCTGCTAGTCTGTCATCAAATCATTTCTGAAACGTGTTGCAGTATTATCTCTCAGACGCCAGTTGCTGGTCAGTGTCGACTAGCTTCCATTGAGTGACGCATGTCCTTTGATCTGTTCACGAGATTTTTGGCTTATCAGCAGACAGTGTCAAATATACAATTAGATAGTGTTAGATCTGTATTGTCATGCAAGTTTGTCGTTGATGTTGCCGAGAGGTGCAAAATGTATGCGGAGGCGTCATTAGAAGTGCACCTCGTTTTTGCATTTTCTACTGCAAAGCGAGTCTTTTGAAGATTTGCTTGACAAACAACATGATCTATTGAAGATGAAACATCATTCTCTCGTAATCTTTCCTCGTGAGAGCAGCTGATATGGGTGTCAAATGGGAAGAGTGGCGTTTTTTGCATGGCGCACAGCTCTGCGAAAAAGCACACTATAGTATCTACAAGCCTCGCATACCCTCCTTCTTCCAACAGTCCATTCTACAACTGGCTCGGACCTGTAAACTACTCTTCACTTTTTCGTCTAAATTTGTAATCAAGAATGCGTCTTGGTTGTATCATTGCCATCCTGATTGCCGTCACTCTCCATACCAGCAGCACCGCGTTTCCTGAGACCCTTCTCGCGATTCTCGCGTCAAACGCACCTCAAGATGCTGTTGCCTCGGTCGATGCGGATGTTGAGCGGCACTTGCGTCGTGCCAAGCCTGGTGCAGGTGACAATACTGGAAAGAGAATGCTCGCGGTACACGGCAACCCTGGCAGTTTTCTTACTTTTGTCGCCGACCATACATTCGGGGACACATAGACCGCAAGACGACAGTACACGCCCAATACTAATAAAGGAGGAAGATGATGTAGCGGTCAAGCCAGGTTCGATAAAAACAAAAATGGGCAATTTTGTCGAGGGGTTTTCTGCTGCGGTGAGATATGTTGAACAAAAAGTGTTTCAAGCATTTGACGCTTTGAGAGCCAAGCTCGCTGATCTCCCAAAACTTCCTCGGTGATCCCAGCATAAGGTACGTAAGCGTTAGCGGAACTAAAAGTAGTTGTCTTCGTATGAACTTAACGTTTCATGGTCCATTTTCCTGTCAAAGCTTGCAGCAGCAGTCCGTGCCGATACACACAAGACCCGATTTGCGATACGATATACATGCCCGGACGTTAGAGCTAGCCGCCTAATGTGCATTGACGTAATTTAGCTGAGTTGGTAGGACTTCTGCAAAGCTGTAGATAATCTACTGGAGGATGTCCTCGAGAAGTAAATATATAAAAAGGTAGTTTGACTATTTTCTATTGTTGTGTAACGCCTACTAAGGCTGATATCATCATTGACTGTCTGGTTGATACCTGAGCAGTATGGCAGCAAACCCTTCGGCTCTAGTACCCTTGTCACCATGTGCAACAACACCCCCTTCGCAAAAGGTATTTCTCGTATTTTAACAACAACGCTACTCGATGCTGTAGGCGTTTGCCAATCCTTTGCTGACCCACCCTGAGTGTTGCGCACAAAAGCCTTTGCCGCTGACAATGGATTAGAGTTGCAACCTTGTAGATCATTGGCTCTTCTCGCTCAGCACTTCGAGATTTGCAATCAACGTGAAAGAAACGAAACACATCTCGTACACTCCCTAAATGTCAAAGACCTTTTCAAACCAAAGCTGCTTGTCGTTGCTTAAAACTCGTCTTCTCTCAGCGAAGCGCCCCATCGATCGTTATGATTTGACCTGTGGCCCGACTTAAAGCGGTAGCCATCGGAATATGAGTTTGACTTTTGTTGCTTGCTTTCCACGGAGCTAATTGACGAATTCGGTTCCGAGAGCAATGCGATGCTTGACTTTGAAGATAATGGTGACAGCAGCGAGCTCCTGCTAGAAATCTTCGAATCTGTAATCATTGGCACATCCATGAGCATTTGCTTCAACTTGTTATCGTGAGACTTTGGCGACCGCATCGATCCCTGCCTAGAACCAGAACGAGTAGGCCCTCTCTTTGGTGTTGATGCAGGCGCTGTGTAATAGCTATGAGGCGAAGACGTAGGTGCTAGTGCTGACCTTGTGTCAGAACCTAACAACTGCATCGTCGGAAAGCTAGTTGTGCGAGCAGCGCTGCTACCGGATCTGCATAACCCTTCTTGCATTTTCTTCAGGCGGCTTTTGGTTCTTTGCCACCAAATTAATACACAGATACAGGCGATCGTGACCAAGAAGCTAGCAATCACCACGTACATCCACCATTGCCAGAAAAAGCACCCAGTGCCACCCGGAACGTACGTACTCCATGAACTCCTCTTTTTCAGCGTACTAGAAAAGCATGAACACCAATCGTTCGAGTCATCGGACATGTACACTTTTTTGCTTGAATTGACGCTGTTTGGGCAGTTGTCAGCTACTGCTAAACCAATTTTTCCATCCACTCGATCGTGGTAAGAGTACAGCCCGTCCATGAACACGTCGCCGAGAACAGTTGACGTTCCTTCAGAAATGCCAATTGCGCGACAAGGTGTACTGGAGTTAGCACCATTCATTTCAGGTCGCCAGTAGTACTCGGGCGGAATCTCAACAATAAAGTGCTTATTAGTTGACCCATCGCTCGCCTCCATTCCAAGTGTAAAGTAAATCGAAGGCAGCTCCAACAATGCAGCGTTCAACGAGGTTGGGTCGCAGTATTCTTCACCACAGCACGAAGTCGAGTCGTCAAAGTAACTGGGGTCAAAGCCTGGTATTGCTTTCAATGTTGCCGCTCTGATTTGGTACATCAGAGCGTTGTACACATCCGACGGAAACGCTAAATTACTTGTTCCAGAATCAAGAATGGCCTGTGGTTCATTGTAGCTATCACATGAAAACCCTAGACTTTCACCGTTATACCCAATGTCCGTTACGGTCACAACATACCATGCTTCCTGGATATAACAAGCAGCAGAAGCAGCACAACACCTGGTCAGCTCATGCAGGTCCAATATTACCAGAAGTCGACACAAAATACACACACTCTTGTGATCGGAGTGTACAGCATATCTCCCGTATAGTAAACCTCTCCATTAGTCCCTTCAGCGCCGCCAATAATTAACTGGCCCGAATGGTGCGTGAAGTCAGTCCCTCCGGTCTGCAACATAGGCTGCATGGTACCACACAGTAGCATTCCAAAGGCATCTGTAGTCTTTCCCTCACTCACTAGTACATGATATAAAGACCACACAGTGTCTTCTATCGACGCTGCTAGTGCCTCGTACGCCAAGCCAGTGATACCATCATATGTGGACCGATAGAACGTGTCTTGCTTCTCAATGACCAGAAAAGTCTTGGAAATATCGCCTACCTCACTAGACGACCACACATCCGTCATAAACTGCCCTCTGCATACAAAACACAGCTTACAAATTAGCAACGACTTTTTTCACGTCAAAGTGCAGCATCTTACTGTATATTCGCTCCTGCAAATGCCAAATTGACCACCTCATCCCCATGATTAGTACAAGTTGACGATGCATCACAAGAATAGGTCACTTGAACATCAGTGCCACAGCATCCAGATCCAAGCACCGCATCGTTCGACGAGCCAGTGTCTGCAATCAGTCGGAAAATGTTCTGCCCATAACAACAAAGGCCACTCTCGTCACAATTCAACCTCCATATCAACAGCCATAGACGCATACAACTTACTCGTTCGCTTGCAAATCCTGATTCATCTAATGTCCCAATGCCCATATTGATTGTGTACGCTGCGTATTAACAAAAAGTGTCAAAATGTAGACATCAAGTCGCTTCTTCTACATAAACAACTTCACACCTGTGCCTGATGCAATGCCTGTCAAATTTAACGAGTAGTGTGCATTGGTAGCCATTGTTTGTCGTTGAGAAAGCAGCAGGAGAAGCTCAGCAACGCAAAGTAAAACCCTCTCAACACCAGCTCAAACATGATGCTGACACAAATGTGGCCATTGTACATTTATATATTCAGATCAATTTGAACTGCCTTTATTGCTGTTCTTTTTATAACATGACAGTTTGTTTCTTTAGCTTGAATGATTTTAGCGAATGAACGTCTAATATCTGAGATTATGAAGAAGAAAAATAGGATTTTTGGTTAAAACTAGGCTAGCGTACCCGATTGCATGTTCCATGATCCAACAAATACCGGTATATCTCTTAAACTCAAAAGCTCAGTTGTACAAAGTACACAAATCCTACATAACATCATGAAGTAACACAATTTCATACCAACCTTCCGATATAAGCCTAAATATAACGATACACTATTGTAATATTTACAAAACAATTTTAAAATCCTAATGTCCACCATAACACGAAGTGTCTCGGCGCCACTGCGTCCTAGTCGCTATACTTCCGTCCTAGAGAGTGCATTAATCAGTGTTGGTCGAGAAGATGCTGTTGTGAATTCTACACGTAAACCACAGAGAAAGAATTGGTGTTTGAATCGATCGAGAAGTCCCAATAGAAGACTAGATCACGCATGTAGCGTCCCTGCTCAACGTTCTGATGGTATAAGAATACAGGAGAGAGGAGATGATGATGCAGATGAAGAAGAAGAAGAGAAAGATCCGTTTAAACAGTTGATTTTGTTGAAATTGCAGAGAAAAACGAAGAGAAATTACAGAAAAGAAGAAGAAAATGAGAAGAAGAAGAAGATGTTGGAGACTGGAGGAACGTCTTGTCGTGCTGTGGCAAGAAGTATACGAAAGATGAAGAAAGATGAGAGAATTTGTCGAAATGGTGTATTGGAAAATGTTGGAAGAACGTCGATTACTAGATCAATGATAAAACAAGAGAAGAAGGAAAAGAAAAAGTGGAAACGAAGCAGTCTTGAGATGATGGAAGATCGAGTGAAGTGTCAGGAAGAAGAAGATGAAGATGAAGAAGATGATGATCATGTGGTGATTCAGAAGAAACTGTTTCAATCACCAAAGAGCAAGAAAATGGTGAAAAAGCAAAATGAAGAAAAGACAAGAGGGCAGAAAAGCAAAAAAATGGTAGTATTGAAACATTGGCGAGTGGAATGGCCACCAGCGCTTGAGACAACTGGAAAAAGTAACGTAGAGAAAGCAACTCTAGTGTTGATTGGACAAGTGAATGGCAAAGTAAAACGCTTTATCGTTGGAAAGCGTGAGGGATCGATGAGCTTTACGTCCAAGAATGGCGAAAACGTGATGTTATCGGGCAAATTGGACCGAAAGGCTGCAAAAAGTGCTGGTATTCCACGTGCGGCAGTGGAGTTGCTGGGTGTGGGCATTCCGGCGTATTTTAGTAAACGTTTACTCCCTTATGCGCAGAAGTTATGTGATAACATAAAATACGACAAGACGGGATGGAAGACAAAGTCAGGGAAGATGAAGAAGATAATTTGTGCCGATACAAGCCGGTACGGAGGATGGCCATGTGGATGGCGAATTGATGTTAAGCTTGGCTTTAAACTGATGGTGTAAATGCGTGTGTAAATCTGCTTGGTACAGTTCACCGCTGCCTTTGATAGATGAAGAAGTCCATCGTGGGATTGAAGCCATTATTGCCTCAACGTCGGCCAAAGTCGGCAAGGTGTGCAGCATTCCGAAGCAGAAGAAGGTACGTACTTGGAGCGCTTGTATGCGTTTCATGTCATTGCGTTGCGCTCATGCTCTCTTTTTGGTTGATATGCCAGAGCCCAGCCGTTATGAAGAATAGAAGAAAGGTTGTGAAGAAGGAAGAGCCTGAGCCTGAATCAGAGGGGGATGTTTGGACAATGGAGCAGCAAGCAGCTTTGATGGATGCCAAGCTCAAGATTCCAACGACTGCCCCAAACTTCTGGGCGCAGGTACGAGTAAAGATAATATGAACGGTGAGTTGGTTGATGATAGTCTTACCAATGGTATTGCGGTACTGTGGGATCGATAGGTGGCACAGCATGTGCCAGGAAAGTCGGCAAAAGACTGTCAAGCCAAGACTTTTGAACAGTTTAGGTCCCCGCCAACAAATCGAAAAGCAAAGAAGCCACTCAAACGAGCAAGCACCAAACCATACTCAGCCGTACCTACCAAGATTGCCCGTGCTGGCTCAAACAAATTTAAAAAGCAAGTACGCGAGTTTGTCGAAGAGGTGCGCGAATAATCTGGGTCGTGAAATATGGTAATTATGTATCTATGCTAACTGATTGTGTCATTGTACTTTCAGTACGAAAAAAAGCACGTAGATGACATTTTCGAAACAACGCCATCCAAGGAAGGTCTACCGGAGCTACCCGAGTTTGATTCCATCAAGTCACCTGAGCTCGGGACACCGTCTCATAGCTTCGACGATAACGACTCTGAAATGGACGACGAGGCACCAGGACTGCTTAAGAAATTGAGCTCACGCAGGCGGGATGACATCGACTCGTACGTACTGGGCATCAATCGCCTGCATGTCGCAGGCGGTGGCGTGATGGCTGGTGGCAAGGTGCGCCGTATGACGTCAACTTTAACACCCGTGAAAGCAGCAAAAGCAAAGGCAACGTCTGTCAAAGTGCGTCAAAGCAATCAAGTTGCGTACATATGTAATATCTGTCGTCTACGATGCATTCTGATTGTACTTGTTTTTTCGCACAGAAGAAAGCTGTGATGCTTGTGGAAGAGGTTGGTTCACATTCTTTAAAAGGCGTCATGAGTCCAGGAGGAACAGCGTCTGTTCGCATAGAGAAGGACGGCAGTTCGTCAGAGAGTGAAGAAGATGATTATGACAGCAGTGAAAAAGAGGAAGACTTTGATTTGCCTTGACCAAGACATACTACGCAGCTCCAGAGGGGAGTATTTATTTATTGATTGTACTGTAAAGTGTTTCTTCGAATGTAGAACCAGAGCTGCCACTTTGTATCATCACACTTGGCTGTAAAGTGTGAGGAGTCTGTCGATATGTGGTGAATAAATATGGACACATATGACGATGGTTAGGAAAATTTGATGGCGGCAAACGCTCTACTCCTTAACAAGCATCAGCACGCGGCGAAGGTTTTCCGTAATGTCTTGTGAATTTGTTTGCTGTGAAGCTAGGGCAACGACATCAAAAGAATGAGTGGATGGATGACCTATACAACACGTTATGGCAAGAACGCACCTGCATTTTGAGAGCCTAACACTTGCTGCAGATGTTGCAATGACGCATGTCTTGATAGCAACAACGCACGCGCTTTTTGGTTATCATACACGAGTGACCATAGCGCTGCTGAAAGATACGCCACAATGGTCAAGTCACCTTGAGGCGCTGAAGTCACGCGCACGCAGAGAGCGATCATATCGTCCAGCAGCTTTTCCCACATGGCAAAGTAATTTTTGGCTAGTTGTGAGAAAGAAAGATTCCTCAAGAATAAACACCCGCTGCGCTGAATAGCCTCATCAGACAAATGCATTACATCGTCAAACAGGAGGGAGAGCATATTAGCCCAGCTGGTGTACAGCACGCGAGCGCCTTCCTCATTCGAAGCGACGCTGCTGAGCACGCCAAGCATGTGAGCAAGGTTTCCAGCCTCGAGGTGATTTGTTTTGCTAGTTTGTCTGTTTCGCTTGAGTCGATCTTGAAGCGAATGAATCAGTTTATAGATTGAACCAGTCTTGACGGATGCTAACACACATTCAGTGTTGAGCAGAACTGCCTTTACCACTTGACATGCAGCATTACTGACAGCGATATTAGCTGTGGACGCAGTAGTGGCACCACGGGCAACTTGGCAGTGAGAAGAAGTCATTTTGCCCCGGGAGCTTGCCAAGTCAAACACTAGCGACAAAAGCGTTCGAGCATTTTCATTCTTAGATATTTTTGCAGACGCGGGCAGTAACGAAATCAGCAGTGATCTTCGGGTGTTGTCGTTTCCGTATGTGTAGTTTGCTAAAAGGCGAAGAGCGCGTAGCATTAACTGAGACCCACAGACATGAGACACTTTCATGACACTCCAATTTGACAAAAGCACGCTGACAAGTCCCTCAGCCTAGCCATATCATCAAGTGCAAGTCTTAGGCCGCTGTATATTCATCGTGTACTGGTAGTCTGGAACCACTTACCTTTGCCAGTTGCTGGCTTTCTTTATCACCACCGACAATTGCGCTCATGACCTCGATATGTGCTTGAATGCGCCGGCATAGATCGAGCACGTATGCATCAGATGTGTTTAAACTGCCGTTTGAACTTCCATCTCGCTTGCCGCTAAATCCTCCAGCTATTTGAATTGCAGAAAACAACTCCTTGGTAGAAGCCATTGCGAAAGGTAGGGCACGTCTTACCTGAATGTGCTGCTGGAGACCTAGGCTTGACTCGAGTAGAACTTGAAGCGCACTTGAGACCCGTCGGATAAATGCTAGCGGGAATATACGGCTCTGAAGTTCTTGTGATGCAGCAACAGTCGTGTTCGCATCCAAATGTCTAGGCCCTGCAACTTCCCGGTAAAGATCGAGCACAACGGATGCAAGCGCGTTGGCAAGTAAAGGATCTGAAGACTCCAACAATCCGGGTATCAGAAACGAAATCTAACCACAAGCATCAAAGCAGACGATCATGTTGTGAGATACTAGAAACGTGTCGTGCCGTGGACGAGAAACTTTGAAATACTTACAGTCGGCACAATCCGAGAAAATGATACCCGGAAGTCAATTGGGTGGTGAGAACCTAGTAGCTTAACGACCACGCCGACAAGTTCTGTCTCAAAACTCGGCGGTGTTGTAGGTGGTCTAAGCTGCTTTGACTTGTATTTCTCACACTGATCAAAAGCTTGCACGAAAAGGCTGCTGAGTGTGCCCGCGCAAAGGTCAAGAACCTTGTAATGCTTCTGCTTTGTAGCCGTGGATAGACTGCTGTCAAGAGAAGCACTAACATCCCGTATCAACTCCATCGCCTGAAACTGCAGGGTTGTATGCTACACACAGAAGTTAATGCCCAGCAAACTAAAAACATTCGAAGACAGAGCGATGTATGTGTACCGTGAGGAAAAACGCTACTTGATTAAAATCAGTATCACGGCAAATAGCCTGGAAGAGATTCAGCATTTCTGACATCATATCTAGAATAGCTGGAAGCAACGAGTGTCTCCATGTAGTAGCATTACAACTAGGCAAATGCATATGAATCGAACAGTAGCGATCACACTTGTATTTCCATTCACGGAGTGACAGCGCCTAAACAATCAAGCAGAGCATTAGTGGCAAGGAGGAAAACGCACAAGTTCTGCACGTTGAATTCTTACCTGCACGAACAGTTGATACACCTCAACTTCTTTTTCAGCTGCATCCAACTCTTTTTGCACATCCCCAAAAATTGGCGCCACACGATCACGATGTACGTAAAGCACTCGAACAAGTCGGGCAAATGCATTTGACGCGCGAGCTAACAATTTGTTACCTTTCAACGCGCACGTTAGTAAGCGAAAAACTCTTCCCGAAAATGTGGTCCCGTGGAAAATCTCTACCATTGCTGCTTGTTGATCAGAAGAGCGCTCGTGATATAGGATAATCTCGTTCGTCAAAGCACTGCATGCTGCTGCACGAACAGCATCTGACTCCGTGTCGTCAGCGAAAGTTCCAAAAATCATCTCCAGCAATCGAGTTGCTGGAGGTTTTGACGACGAGGCATACTCGATGACGAGAAAACCGAGCTCGCGAATTGGCGATACGTGGTCAAAGAGATAACGAAACACCCAGCTACAATCGAGAAGGATACTACTATCAGTGTGCTCCAGGTAACAATCGCTACTCAGAAGAAAATTGGGCGGAAGCAGTCGAAGAATGGTTATCATGCACTGTGATCCAACAACAAACACATCACGCTCCAAATAAGAACCAGGGACACGGTGGCGACACACAACTGTGAGCAATGGCGAAATCATCTCCAGCAAACGCTTACAGATCTTATCACGCGAAGGTGCAGACAAGTGAGTGTTTGTATCCTGGTCCATGCCTCTGGCAAATCGCAACAGTACCTCCAGCATTAAACCGTGCAGTACAGGCTCTGTCGTGTAGAGTGCTAAGTACTTTGTGCAGATAGTCGTGACGATGTCCGTATCAGCAGCCAGCGATAAAAACAAATCGCCAACCTTGGATTTGCTGACATTCAGCAACAACCTGGCAACCTGAAGAGAAAACGCCTTGCTATGAGATCTCTTTAGGAGTGGGAAAACCTTGCGCTTTACCACAATGAGGGCTCGCAACTGCTCATTTCTAGTCATGACACAAAACATGACGCTAAGAGAAGCTACAAGCGAGCCAATAATCACCTCGTCTCGTTCACTTTTTGGAGGTACCGCAAAATACCGCTCAAAATATGCTTCCCATTCACCGACAAAATGGTCGCGTCCAAAATGCCAAGCTTCGCACATCGTCATCAAATGGTACAGCGCGTTCAGACATTTTCCGTGCGACGGTGCATCACGAAGTTTTTGAGCAACGATTGCATACTCCGCATCTAGTAATATAGAAAACGCTTTCCTGCGCGCGTCGTTCTTCACATCGTCTTCATCACTATCGTATGGTGTCTGAGTGACAACAGCTCGTACTTCTTGCAACCATGACGAATCAGCCCGCTTGGTCAACAATGCACAGCTTACTCGCCACTGCTGTTCCAGCGAGCAGGTATCAATGAGACACCGCGTCCAGCAACCGGAATACAATCCAAATGTTGTCTTGACCATCTCGGGAATTCTTGCTTCACCACTGAGTACGACTTTGTCATCGCTTAACAATTCTGCTGGCTCCCCGCTGGGAATAAAATTTTCGGCAGAGCACGTGAGCAGGAGGATAATATAGTACATCTGCGCCCGAACCAAGACTGATGCATGAAATATCAACGCCATTAGCAGCTCCATCATGTCGCTATCGTACTGAATGGCTAAGCGCAACAGTCGGCTTCGAAGCAGTAATGTCCTGATTAAGATAAGGGCATGCTGAACCATCGACGAGTCACGTCGATTTTGTTCTTGCCGAAACAAGGAGCTAAGCAGATCAAACAGGCCCGATAATTTGTTCATCTCTTCAAGTAGCGCGAACAGCTCGACTGACAAATGATCAATAAACATGGCCAGCTCTTTGAGTGCCACCTTTCTCATACTTTCAAAGGCTGAAGACGTGCTAGATATCACTTTACACAAGTGAGCCAACTTGTTGAGCTGCGACGATAGCTCATTTTCGCTAGGTTGACAATGACCTACATGGAAAGTAGGCAAGGGAGTTTCCATAAGTGCTGCTTCAAACTGTAGATTCTGGCCAACGCATGTTGTGCTTCCAAACGGGTCTTCACAAATTGCTTTATCTTTTGACAAACTTCCAACATACGATGGAATCGTTCGAGACAACAACCGAATAAGTTTAGACGAAGCAGCTTTCCGAATATATGATGACTGGTGAAGCAAATAACGGCAAAGTAAAACTTTTCTCGTATGATCAGACACACTAATTTCCAATCGATTCAACACTTTAGCAAGTTGTAACTGTGCCAAACGCTGCTCTTGAGACGACTCTTCCGACAGCTCAAGATACGCAAAGTGTTGAAGCAGAGCAACCACGGGCTGGAGCACTACTAGCTTTTCATTCGAAAAGCTTGCAAGGTGATTCAAAGTTATTCGTAAAATCTTCCAAAATGCTGCATCATTCATCTTATCAACAGTGTTACCAACCTGCTTTGCATGGGCTAACAGCAACAGCGCAATAAATTCCGATTCACATATTACCTCTGTAACAAATTGGTCTCGACAATCAGCTGATATACGGTTATCTCCATCATTTAGCTTCTCAACAAGATTTGCAAATCCTCGAAAAAAACGAATCACCATTGAATCATGTAACGCTGGTGTCTCCATCTCGCCCATTTCACGTACCATATCGGAAAGAATAAGCTGAATATTCTCGACATCGCTTTCGATAATTTTCCCTGTCTTATCCTTAGCATCTTCACTCAACGCTGACCAGACCGTCTGAAGCGCAGCGTCTGCGATAATTTCAGTGTCTGCGCTGTTAAACACGCATCTGGCCTGAACTGCTTTCCTCGCAACTTCTAGAGTCACAACGTCTGGCTTCTTTAAAGAGCTAAAATTTACCAACTGCTCACGATGAAGTTTCGCAAACTCCACAAAACAAAGAATGGACTTAGCATCTCGTTGAGATGAATGCTTCAGGTCGACAAAAGATGGGATCGTACTATCAATCTGCGCCAGCAACTGAACTACTGCCTCATCTTTCCACTCGATAGAAGACACTTCAGAAAAAAGCGGACTGGCAGTCCATAACTTTACAGCATCCCACAACACCCGAGGAACGGTTATCGCACCACTATCGTCGGCTATGCCGCTACGACTGTTGCAATCAGGTTTGCTAGAGGTTTTTTCAACGCAATACTGAGAAGATGGATACAATTGAAGCAATTTAAGGACGAGCTCCACTAGTTTCCATGTCATGCAGTGCGTGAGTTCAAGCTCATCGTCCATTATGTTGCTACCTGCTCGTTCCGGAGATACAGGGCGGCAGATGCCACTGAGAATTTCAAAAATGCGTTCGAGACGCAATCTATTCAGCTTTTGAACGCTTGTATCCGCAGAAGTCAGGTAACTTTTTTCCGGCAAATCTGGTAGTGCTACGATGAGAAGGTTCAAAATGTGAAGTCTTGGGTGTCTTGCTGAGCGCAGCAAAGGTAATATGCTGATAAATACTCTATACACTGCCCCACTTAGCGAGTAGTGCTCAAACTGACCGCCACATTCACCACTCCCTCGTCTATTCGTATTCACTTCAATTTCCGCTCTAGCTGGAGGATACCGCATTCGTCGTGAATCATACGAATCAAACAAATTTACATGGACATGTGGTGAATACACTACATATGTCGGGTCATGACATAACCTTCGTGTAAGCTGTAGTGCATACAAGAATGATTCAATCGCTTTAAGACTCGCCATCGCCACTGCTCCAGTTAAATTCCCTCGTTTGCTCGAAAACGTCGAGTGAATCATCTCGTCAAAGTAGTTGACACCCATCGACACTTGCATTGCCTTTACCATCATCATGACTTCGCCATCGTCCCTTTGTGTTTTACTTGTCGTCTCGAACCTTTCCGACAATATCGGCTGTTGGACAAGATGCAATAAGTATTGCAATATCGCTGGTCTTTGTAAAAACACTTCAGCAGGAAAGTTTCGCAACAATTCATTCCTAAACGTCGCACATGCTGTTACAATCTCTTGAATCTCGGTTCTAAGGTAAAGTTTCACCTCAAACTCAAACAAATACTGGTCATCCACGGACGTCAGCATCACGTGAGCAAATTTCCACCCACGAGTCTCCAGCTCATCAATTGTTGAGGGCATTTTCCGTGTTGTAGACAACACTCGACTCGCTCCAAGATCCTCCTGTCGAGCCATATTCTTCTCGTTTTTATTCTCTACTTGGCTCATCTCATCGGTCTTCTTCTTCTCCTCCATTGACACTAGCTTGGTTGTGTACATTTGTCGTAATAACTGCTCAAATAGCAGCACAAAAGGATGGATATTAGTAGACTTTCTTGCTTTCTTTCTAAGGGTTAAGAACCTTCTTTAAACCTTCTCATACGTCGCCTGTAGCTCCGGATTCTTACGTGCTGCTTGCTGAAGCTTCGGTGCTGCTCCATGATGCTGTAAACTGGCCAGAAAGACCTCGGATTTGCTCTCTACTAGCAGTTCTAGTACATGAAGCGTCTCAAGCTCGAACGGTGGTTCTAGACACGCCAGGAGACTCGGAATCAGCGATTTCTCTAGTGGTTCAAGATCCTGATACTGCACAAGACATTCTCGTAGCTTTAATAGTAAATTGTGCAGTGCTCGGGATCGAATCTTGCCGAGAGGATGTCGTAGCTTGTGCACAAGCGTATTCAACCAGAGCCCATCTTGTGTCATTATTATAGGGCGATAAGATCGGTCAATGAAAGAGTATCAGAGACAATTGCTTACTTTTACCCTAAATTAACGATAACGCACATAATGTAAATTGTATCCCTATCTAAACAAATGAGACGCTGACATTATGTATGAATACGGTCACTGTCACTTTATTATATATCATTTTGTACTCGAGGATGCTAAGACCGTCTAGAACCTTTGCATGAATCAATCGAGCTTATCGTCTGAATTTGCATTAATACGGACGTGTTCATTACCAGTAGCTGCTATGTAAAAGCACAGCCAATTGCCATATCAGATCCAGCAATTGTTTGTGCTATTGACCTAGCCTACATCGTAAAGCTACAGCCTCAAATGATCAAAAGCACAGCACACTGTTGACTTTATCCGCGTCTTTTCGACTCGGATGACTCATCGTAGACATTAGTTTCTTGGAGTCGTAATCAATGCTAACCGCAGACGATAGGATAGACGACCACAAGAGACGATATCATGAGGTTTGGGCGGAACACTATCACAAGCTCATTTATTCTTGTCCGATAGAGACCCTTTCAGATCAGTCGTGTGCTTCGTTAGGTGGACATTTCACGATGTTTACAGTATCACCAAGAGACCTCAAGCGTCCAAAATGAAACCACACGTTAACTTTCATTACCACTACCAATAACTACTAGCTAACTAACAGTGCAATATGTATTCTTTCTATACTCTCTCTCTCTCTCTCTTCTACATCTTTTCTCTTCTTTTTCTTTTCTCTATACAACAAACATAATCGGTCGTCTCATCCCTTTATCTATCAACTATTGTCAAATGGCTTCAATCCTTGAATTCTTTTTCCTTGAAAAAACCCAAAAACTGGTCTTTTTCATCCATCTCATCTCTCGGGTTCAGCTTAGAACTTTGTTCATTCCAGTCTACGACAAAACTGTCGGTAGTTTCTTGAAACGAAGAAGAGGACGACGACGAATTCATTCATTCTCTCTCTCTCTATCTCTCTGTCTCTTACTCTATCTGTCTCTCTCTTTGTCTCTTTCTCTCTTGTTCAAGATTCCTTGTATACATTGAGTAACACGTCATTCAATTCCTACGAGTCGAGAAGTATCAAGAAACAAGACAACATGACAGAGCGTCAAGCGAATGACTTGACTGCTCGTAACCCACGAGTTCGTGTCACACGTGCATTCTCACAGATTGAAGAACCAGCAACAGTACAACAGTTACAGGAAATGATGCTTTCAACGTCTACAAAGACGTTGGAGATACCGAGACTCGTGTCACCAACACGCGTCACGACAGATGTTGCAAGAATGGTGACGGATCCACTTGTACCACCGACGTCACCGGCGTCGTTGTCACGACCTGTGGCTCATTCATCACCTGCACCGTGTACGATTCTACGGAAACCAAGCAATAGGGGCAATAGTAGCGGCACGGGTAGTCCAGAATCCACAGCATGGACACTACCCGATCGGTCTTCACGTATCACCGATATTGGACAAGAGAACGTGACTAATGGACAATGCAACGTCAGTATTGATCGAGAAAACCAAGTCACAGGACACGAACGCAACGTCAATATGAATCATTCGAAACCAGTAGTAGAATCACGACGAAACTCGAGTGAGTGGGCAGAAACAGCGGCGCGATTGAGTCGACGAGTGCAGGAACTGGAGCTTGAGAATTTCAGATTGAAAAATAGTAATGAACCTCCAAAAACGTTTGCTATTGGTGACATGCGCACGTTAAGAGCAGCAAGATCAGATGTGGGGAATGCATTCTCTGACGTTAAGCAGCAACGAAGAGGAAGATTGAATAAGTCACAGAGTTGTGCTAATGGGTTTGAAATTACTGGACTGACGGTAGCTGAAGCTGCAGCAGCGTCCCATCGCACACGCACAAGGCGCTTGGCGTCGGCTACTAATGCTACTGAAGCTGCAGTTAAATTGCGCTCGGGATACTGGAACGGAACAAACAATGTTAAAAGCAGTTTTAGCTGCAACAATTTGTCAGATCTGGAGCAGCCCGAGTTTTTGCTTGAGAAGTTACGCACGCCACCATCTCTTGCCGTTGGTGCATTCAGCACTGTTAGCGGTGGTAACACAACTGCCACGCCTATGTCAGCCACAACAAGCGAGCATGAAGCCTCCCACAAGAGCGACTCTTTTCAGTGCACGAGCTCCGAAAGCGAAGATGACGCTGCTAGTACGACAACACAGCATTTTGCAATGCAGAAGTCACGGCAAACCTCAGCTGTCATGGCCCAGCACAGCTCATCGTCTGCCAATTTGAGGCTGGATGATAGCTTTCATGCGGCTGATAATCGTATTACATCACCACGTTCGTATTTCGAGGCAGGACTACGGACCAGTAGCTTTTCATTGGGCTCAAAGACATCGTCAAGTTTGAAGTCAGAAAAACGAAATAGTGTAGGAGACGTGCGCATGTGGGTGGGCACATGGAATATGGGTGCAGCAGATCCGTTTGATGACGGAAAGGGTATCATCGACGAGCAGCGCTCGGCAACAATGCTGCAAAACTTCCTGCCGCACGGCTATCAGCTCTATGTGCTTGGAATACAGGAGGGCGTGTCGGAAAACGTTTATCACGCCGTGGAAGCGTATTTGAACCGGAATGAGCAGGGTACTCGCTACTATCGCATGGAGCTTAGAAACGGAAACTTTATGGTGAATCACAGGAATCAATCTTCTGACGCCGTAATTGATGCTGTACACGGTCGTGGCGACGGAGCCTTTGTTGGTACCAAATTTACAGGCATGGCTATGTTCTACTGCGCCAACATTGAGGACAAGATCAAGCTCATTCGAGCAGGTGCACACAAGTTTAAACTTACAAGCGGGTCAAAGGGTGGTGTAGCTGTGGCGCTTATGATCAACCACACGACTATTGTTTTCGTGAACTGCCATTTGGACGCGCGAAACGATACATACCGTCGCGAACAGATTAGGAATTTGAATGCCAGTCTTGGTCGTATAATGGGTCATTACAGCTTTGACCTTACCGAGCAGTTCCATCATGTGGTATGGATGGGAGATCTGAACTACCGCATTGTTTTTCTGGACCCACAGATGGTCCTCCACATGCTCGAAGAGGGCCGAAATTTTGAGCTGCACGACAAGTTTGACGGTCTTTTGAACGACCGCCGCAACGGTGGAGTCTTTGAAGGCTTTACGGAGCCGCACAAGTTTCCAGACTTTTACCCGACGTACAAAAAGTTTCCCAAGCGTGGGATTGTGAATGAGAAGCTACCGTTGTGGCCATCGCTTGTTTGGCGCGTGCTGTACAAAGAGCCATTTTATAAGGGCGGTAAGGTAAAAAAGCGCGTGCCTGGATGGTGCGATCGCATCTTGATTCACTCACTCCTTGTTGGCGACTCAAAGCTGATTCCGGAAAGGGTGCTGGACCCGACATCCCTCGAGGGCACTCCCCAATTTATTGACAACTATCGTTCCGTAAACCATGGCGACGGAATGGACGTCAGCGACCACAGTCCTGTGTACGCCACCTTTGTGCTAGGTTTTCCGCGGCACGACAGTAATGCATTTACGTCAGAATCTTCGCAAAAGCTCTCACACCGAAACTCGCGCTCCCTTTCCACGGTTAACAATAGTGTCGGAGACAAATATTTGCACTCGGTGGGTGGCAGTTATTTCGACCAAGCTCGCGTGGTTCGACAAATGAAAGCACAGAAGCGTCCTGTTTCCACAGTATTGCGCGTGTTTAACATGGAGCTCAGTTGGAATGAAAACGTGGTGGTGCCCAAGAAGACCCGAATCGTTGCGCCATTAGTCGGTGAGGATGCAAAACAGTGTGATGTTATTGGTGAGCGTTGCCAAGGTTCGAGTGGTTTGAATCTATCACTTAATGCAGTGCTTCAACACACTCGACCACTTGAGCAGCTACACATGCTTGTATGGGTGAAAAATGAATCAATTAACGGCCACTGCACTCTCTCACTGAAGCGTATTGCTCACCAGGAAGAGGGAGGTGAGGTCAAGTTTCGTGTACCACTCTACAACGATTCCATGCGAGTGCACCTTGACGGGCATCCTTTGCTCGTAGTTTTCTCTGTACGAAGCAAAACATTTGCCAAGTGAAGAGTTCCGATGTCAAACTCTTGACCCCTCTTTGTCGTGAAAATGAAAGAGAGACGCTTATTTCTGAAGAGTGTTACTTTTGTGCAAGAGATTTTCCATTTAATTTGTTGCTGACTCGTGAGTGTTATTCATACCAAGTCATTAGCATTAGATTAGAAGGAACATACCGCTCGTGTAAGCAAAGACTCGTGACGTGTCTTTGGTTATCAGGTCAAGGATGCAAAACGTGCAGCGAGATGGCTACATTTCGAAACGGCCAGTTTTGTGTCACTGGTTGAGCAGCTACCGTTTGAATAATTCCGTGGTCAATGAAGTGCGTGGAGCTCCGTCTAGGCTCTTTACGAACGACAGTCAAGCCTTGTAGCAATGTCTCATCTCCTCCTTTACTCTCTGAAGGTACATGCTTGATAACAAATGCATCATTGGCTCGAGTCTGTCGTGTGTGTACAATACGTGAGGCGCGATATACGTGTCCACGTTGCAATATTCCTTATTGCAATGTAACTTGTTATCGATCTCATAACGTGAGCTGCACGGAGCAGTTTTATGAGAGCCATGTACAAAGTGAAATGAAATTGAATTCAAGAGGAGATGCTGATTCGAAACAAAAGCAGAAAAGAAGCATTCAGGAGCTAATGGAACGGGTTCGAGAGTTTCAAGAAGATCAAGAGCAGAATGCAGAGGTGGTTCAGGAAGAAACGATAATGGAGAGAATGCAAGAGCTTGTAATTCTAGAGAAAACTGGACAATTGACACTAGAATGTTTAACATCTGAAGAGAGAAAGAGCTTCTTGAGCGAAGTAGCAGATGGACGACTAGGAAAACTTGTGGAGCTCTGGACGCCGTGGTGGTTAATGTCTGAGCGTATATACCGCCGGGAGACCACAGCTCGACGACGACAATTGATATTGGAGGAGGTTATGGAAGATGAATATGAAGAAGAAAACGTTGTTGTAACGGTAAATCGGGCAGTTTTGTATCCAGTTGGGCTATTCACGAACAGTGAGGCGCAGAATATGCCGAATGACATCAGTCTCCTGCTTCAAGGTGGAAGAAAACCGTCGCCGTGTCTGCGTTATCATATGATAGAAGTGATTTTTGCGTATGCGCTGATGCTACGGGCTTATAATGGCGATTATGGACAAGATGTAGCTGAAGCGGCACTCATGTTATTGGATCTGTGCCAAGTCCTTAGTGTAGATTCACGATACGGGTCGGTTGAACACGCGTGCTTGGCTTGTCTAGAAAAGCAATCGAGTGAAGGCCCAGCTGCGAATGCACTGGCAATCCAGGACACGCAGAAAATAGTACGTTCTGATGTGTTTCTACTTGATGCGCTCAGTGACACGCGTACTCTTTTGGAGAGGTATGCCGAAGAGCTTGAGCGTAGCCGTGAGTCCGACAAACAAGCGAGAAAGGAGACGAAGGTAGCAATGAAAAAGCTTGCAATCGTGCAGAAAAAGCTGCAGTTCTATAAGGCCTGGGCATACCTTACGTCGATCGATGAGTTTCGAGCGCTCGCAGTGGAGATTGAAAAGTACGTAAAAGACAAAGAACTGCTTGGTGCACAAGGTTAGCACTTCAAACTTTTGTATTTAGCTTCATCTTCATGTATTTGATTCACGTTCTGCCCCATACATTGTAAGTACAGCAAAACTGCCACAAGCTTCGTTGCTTCATTCCATTCACTACATCATTCCACATTGGATGCATCAGTCGCCTGTTAACCGCTACAATAGTACTATTTTCCTGTCGTTCTGCTGCCGCCAAGGCACCATTGTACACCTCAGCTCTTTGTAATGTCTGAGCTTAGTGTCTGTGCTGAATCTCAAGATAAGTGACATGTCCCGTTAGGTTGAAGCAGTGGTGGAAGGAGACATTGGTTGCAGTTCTTTAAATGCCGTGGCCCACTTGTTAAATTCTCGTGTTGACGTCGCCGTAAGGATGAGCTTCTTGCCAGCTTGGCTGAACTCAGGTGTGGTGATGATGAAAGTCAAGCTGCGTGGGTCTGTAATATCAATTTTAGCACCGGCAAGCGAAATTGTGCTGCTCTTGGCACCCACCTGGTGAATCATGCTCTCTTTCTTATAGCCCGTGAGATGATTACCACGCAGCACGAAATACCGCTTCTTGGAGCCAAGAAAGCGTCTACTGCTAGCCACTTTGAGAATGCCTTGCGTGCACGTAAACGGCAGAATCGCATGCACCCAAATGACGGGTCCAATAAAGTTGTCAATTAATACGTAATCCGTCTTGCTCGTGGAGATTGTAAGCTCTTGGTACTTAGAGCGCGAGCTCACGGTCACGATCTGGGAGCACATGATCTCGTCCTCTAATAAGTTAGTATCCTTATTGACAAAAAGAAGACGTTCGTGATCTGTGAGTAGCAAATGAAAGCGCTTCTTGCGCTTAAGTGACACGGGTCCTGCCAACAAAATACTCTCTCGCGTCTTCAGTAGGCTGTCCCAAAGCCGCATAAATGGCGACCGCACGATCGCTACAATTGCATTGTTGTTCTTTCGCTTCACTGCACTGCATACGTCTGGCCGCATGGCGAGCACCATATCCTTTAGCATCTCAACTTCCTTTTGGTTCAGTACGCCGTCATTGCCCAAACCTTCACAAAACTCAAGCATTTCTTCTACCAACATGTTCTCGCCTTCCATTCCACTCAACGCAGAGCATCCTGAACCCCGACGTAAGCCAAAACCGTCCATATTACTGGGGCGTGGCGACGGCGCTACCGTTGAGGCAAATGAGAAACGGTTGCTCATGACACCAGTCGATCTGCCTGGTGTGGGAGGCATCACTTTCGAGCGTGCAAAAACCACCACCATAGGACGTGTACTACGACTGAGTAAGCTAATGGCACGGTTATACTCAAGTCCGTTAATGATCTCTCCATCCACTGCATGAATAATATCAAAGATCCGTACGCCATGAGCTTCTGCATAGCCTACAATATTTGGATGAGCCATTGGTAAATCTTTTACAATAACATTAACATCATCTGTTGTGATCGTCATATTAAGACTCGGGCCTCGAAATTCCACTGCAAAAAGTCCTTCTCGTCGAAATGGACGGAAAAACTGAATACTAAGAGGTCGTGTCTGAGTCTGAAGCATCTGAACAACATTATCATAGCTTCGACCAACGGTTCTCGCTCCATTTACCTTGTAAATGACATCATTAGGTTGAATCCGTCCTGATGCTTCTGCTTCACCTAATGATCCATCAGGTTTTCGTTTTAAATGATTCACAATGACACTTTCATTCTGTTCTCGTATTGTCATTCCGAGAGATCGATCATGAAAAACAACTTCAAAAACTTCAGTTGTTTTCATCGGAGCTAATGCTTCTGTCTTTGGTGAGAGACATAAACATAAGGAATCTTTCATATTTGATAATACATCTTTGGTAATATGTACAAGACTGGAATTTGCTGTATCAATGAGATCAACCCATGCTTCATCAGAGACACCAAATTGCACACGAAGTTGAGATTCCACGAGACTTTCAAAGACTTGATCAGGGACATTTGGATCCCATAAGATTGAACGTACAGAACCATCGTCCAAGTCAATGACACGAATACTACAGGAACTTAATTGGTTCATAGGTCAGGATTGGTGGAAAATTGCTGTGGTATTATGATGAGGAGGAGGAGACTTTCAAACGTAAAAGAGGGTAGGAATGAATGTATGAATGAATGTATGTATGGACAAGTAATAGTGTGAGTGAATAAATGAGTGTTTGTAGTGGAAATTCGGTTTGTTTGGCGGCTGCCGGCAAAGTCTTTTGTGATTTGTGCAAAAAATTAACTAATAATACTATTGAGCGCCTGTCACTGACACCTGAAGGTTTTATGTGTATTATACCTTTGGAAACACATATTATACCAAACTAGGGAAGACATAGAAACAGTTGACGAACGACACAGAAAGGAATAATACCATAGGAATCAATATGCTGTTTAGTAGGTACGTACTAGTTTAAGCAACAGCTTATGGGAATTTGCATGAAATCTCGTATCGAACATGCGATATAATCGAAGGTGGTCTTTATACCTGCATCTAGGTATCTACTACTACTACTTCTAGTTTCTAAGACCGTGCTGAATTTTTCTAGTCTACTTTGTTTTGATTGGCTTAAAGTAGTTTTTTTAAAATCCAATCAAAAAAGTGTAGACGTTGCGTACGTCACTCGATCGATCGGCGCATTGCAAACTTTGACAATCCTGCTCTTGACGCCGGATCTTTTAGGAAGTGACTGGAAATTGCATTGACATGAGGTACATTGGAATAGAATTCCATATGAACAAAATCATCGAGTAAAACGGCATCATTTAGTTACGTATTGCTTCTTTTGTAGTATTGTTGCTCGTTGAAAAGCGTTGGATGAAAGAATCTGTTAGCATCGTCTTCCTGTAGCATACAATAACAATAATAATACCTCAACTCTTAGTCAACATAGGATGCACGTAACTAACATGAGACTGAATTGTTTTCATGGATACTTCTATCTCGGCACCACGATAGGGAGAGTCACTAATGGTGGAAAGACGATCAAGCACAAATAAAATAGGGGTCGCTGTGGTACACAACACGATACTATCTGATTCAGAACAGTACTTATAACGTTCACGAACATGTCCGCATAACCTCATCTTACATATATGTATAACTGCCAATGAGTAAGTGGAGGGTGGAGCGCTGTCAATGCCACGCACACTCGTGTCATCTCCACTGTCGCCAAGGCTAGTCTTCAACTAAATGCTGCAACTGATTTAAACTGAGACTGTAGTCGATCTAGTGTTTCGTAGAGTATATATATATATAAATGTTATTGCACTCGATGTCTCACTAAAGATTGTCCTAGTTATTATGGACTATCTCAGACCATAAAATACATGAGCAGTCCGCACGCTCTGTCGTGTTCTTTTTTGCAAATTGAATCTTTGAAAATTACACACACCAGTTTTAAACGTTACATTATGTCGTGTAAAATACCTTTTCTTTTCTTCTTTTTAGTCAAAAAGAACAGTCTGGTGTTTTATTGTAAACAAGACAAAACATAACGCCATAGATTCCCTCCTCCATTCGCGTATCATTTATTTAAAAAGATGAAGCGTAACCGCCTTGACGTTGGTGTAGCAAAGGATCAGTATGAAGCGTCTCTTCTTGTGCAGGATACATTAAATAATGACACTTCTTCATCATTTCCTCGTGCATCGAATCATGTACTTAAGGCTCGTAAGATCGTGACTGCTACACCGACGTCTCGTGCACAAGAAGCGACACGACATCTCAGAGCTCTAAATCGTGCTTTTGTCACGAATATAAAGACGCAGTGGACACATAATAAGGAAGGAAATTGGATACAAAGTATGAAAGAATATCTGAATTATGCGCTTGTGATTGAGGCCAGTTTTGGTGACCATACAGGCCAAATATTAACATTTGGTAGTGGGGATTGTGGTCAATTGGGTCACGGCGTTGAAGAAGACGATCTGATGGTTCCATATCCTCGCGTGATACGCTCTTTAGCATGTCACAAGATTCTTCGTGTGGCCTGTGGTGGTCTTCATTCTGCAGCTATTACGGAAATTGGAGAGGTCTACACATGGGGCTGCAATGACGATGGTGCTGTAGGTCGTGATGGTGATGAGAATATACCGAGTAAAGTGGAAGGATTTGGACCAAAACAAGCTATTGCCGTGCAAATTGTGGGTGGTGACTGTCATACAACTGTTGTGACGCTAGCTGGAAAGGTCTACACATGGGGCTGTTACCGTGACAAGGAAGGCAAACAGTGGTGTGATGCTCCATCGTCCAAGGCTGCGTTCAAAACAAAACAACTTCGACCGTACTTGATAAAATCTCTGGACAATGTAGTTGATGTGCGTTGTGGCAGTACGTTTAACCTTGCGCGGACGAACGATGGGCTTGTGTACTCGTGGGGATTGGGAGAAATGGGCCAGCTTGGACGTAAGGTTGATGCGGAGATGAAAGATGCAAAGGAAGACTATAAGGTTGATATGGTGTACTCGGAACACCTGCAACCAAAACTCGTGACGCTAGGAAAGGACCCGCTCCCAGTCGTCAAGTCCATCGGCTGTGGCTCTTACCACAGTCTGTTTGCTCTAAGCTCAAATGGATACCTGTACACATGCGGACTTAACAACTATGGACAGCTGGGAATTGGCAGCACTGAAAACTGTTCCGAATTGCAACTTGTAGAGAATCTTTGCTCCGAGAACGTCGCATTTGTCGACGGGGGAGCCCATCATTCGGTCATTCTTACTAATGACGGTGACGTATATACGTTTGGCCGCGCGGACTCAGGCCAACTTGGTGTGCTTGACACTTGTGCTACTGGCGAGTTTAAGGATTGTCCACAAAAAGTTGCGATTCCTACTTCCAAAAACGGTGGCTCGAGTTCCGTTCGCATGATTGCTACAGGCTCTAACCACGTGCTGGCGCTAACGGAAAGTGATGCGATTTTCTCTTGGGGGTACGGTGATATGTTGGCACTAGGTAATGGGAAAGAGCACGACGAAAACAAGCCGTGCCAGCTGGACTGGTCGAAGGCCAGGTCTGACAAGGACAAGACATTTGGTAAGGCGGAGATTTATCAGATTGAAGCTGGTGGTCAGCACAGTGCAGTGCTGGCAAGATCCGTTGAAGACAAGTAGAATATCTGGATCTCGCCTGGTGCGGAGATATGTCATCTCCGCAATAACCAGGGTGGAGGCTTTCTAGTGCACGTGAATTAAAATTTGGACAGAAGTTTTGGAATCAAATATATTGAGGTTCGGACGATCAAAGTACTTATTTGACTTCAGTGGCGTTGGCTAGTGGCTTCAATAGCTCAATTGGGCTACGCTCTTAACACGTTGGCCACATAGTGCATTGTAAATGCTTCTCACGGAAGCACAAGTCCTACCGAAAGAATGCTCGCTGCCAAAAGCACAAGTACCTGCTGCAACGTCCCAAATTGAATTGCAGTCGCCAGGTTCGTATGTTTGCGTTTCTTGGAAGACGAGCCCGAGCCGTCAGCCGACGATGCCTCGAGCGATTTACGCCGCTTGATTGGAGACGGAGCCGGCGTAGTCGTGTCACACGATGACACGAAGTTGTCGAGACTCATTTGTAGGGTCATGTTCTTCTTGTCAAAAGTATGTTCACAAACAGGGATGTCCAAGTCATCTACGGACCCGATCATCGCCTGGCAGGCTTTTGACTTGCACAACATGGACTGCTGCATCGTTGAAAGGCTCGAACGCGGCGGAATTTGAAAATTCAGCTTGCTGTCATTAAGGCATTTGTTTACTTGGCCAGATACTTCATTGAAGACACTCAAATCCTTCGTCGAGCAAGGCTTAGAGCTAATAGCGCCAATGCCGCTTCCGATAATTGTCAACAGCAACAGCGTCATAAGTCTTTCCATCTTCTTGTCGCACGATTTTCGAGGTGTTGGAGGGTCAGTGAAATGCTTCAGCTTCTTGCTTCTATCGCTTGTGTGGACGATTGAAAAGTGAGATACCAT